ATATATATATATATATATATATATATATATATATATATATATATAACAATTAAAATCTAAAAATTCCAAAAATAAATAAATTAATTCTCATACTTTTAAAATTCCGATTTAACAATGATTAATCAATAAATTATAACCTAAAGTTTTGATACCCAAGGTGAAAGATTTATCAATCCTAAGAGGAGAAGTAGAAAATAACTCGTTTGAAGGTTTCGAAATGAAACCGATGTCTCAAGTATTGGTTGTCTCTTCTAATTTTGATAGCCTCCTTGTCGCCTGTGTCGTCCTCTTTCTCTGATCCGGTCTCCTCTTTGTAAAACTTTCCTTCTCCTTCTTCTCTCTCTCTTTTTATTTATTTTTAACGTGAAAAATCTTTTTAACAATACAACATTAGGTGTATACATAGACACATGTATACCCTAATCCTATTCCTAGTCTAACTACCCAATATAAAAAGTATAATAACAATCTTAAATAATATATATACACATTTATATTATATATATATATATTTATTTATTTATTTATATAATATAAATGTGTATATATATTTCTTTCCATAATGATCATTAATTACTTAAATCATATATACATATATATCAATAAATATATATTTCCTTCCATAATAATTACTAATTAATTATATCTATATATATATATATAATTATACAAAAATAATCATTTAAATATCTTCATAACCATGTGTCATTATTAATTAACCCAACAAATCTTCATCCAAGCCCAAGACCACATCCATTAGTCCAACTTCCCTTAAGCACAATCAAATTAACTTAAATAAATAAAATAATTAAATTAAATTTATTAATTATAAAAAATTAACAATTAAATCACACAAGCATAAACGCACATATAGTCAAATAAACAACCCAATCATGACATTCCACAAAGCAAAACATCATATCAATTCAACAAGTAAAATACGAAATATAATTGAATTAAAAATATAATTTAAATAAAACAAGACAATTAAATAAAACTCCCAATTAACTCATTAATTAAAAATAATTAAATTAATTAAACAAATTCTTTAAAATATAGGGGTATTACATTCTTTCCCCTAAACAAAAGGAATTCCATCCTCGGAATTCATGAATCCATGAAATGACAACTCTGGTTATTTATCCAAAATTCCCATTTTCCCTTTTTCATGGGGAATTAGCTCCATCCACCATACCCATAATTAGCAGACATAACACATATCTCATTTTATTAAGACTACGCTAAGCTTACCCATACTTATTGCATTTATTTGCAACCTAACTTCACCAACATATATGCGTTGGTAAATATCCCTATTGCTGTATTTTCTTGTAGCAAAATGCATGAAACCCGTTTACACACATGACACGAAGTATATAATAGTGCCAAAAATGGCTATTGCCTAATCAATGAAAAAATGAATAACTCACATAATGAGATAATAACCTCTTATACAAATAAACAACCAAGTCATGGCATTCCACAAAGCAAAACATCATATCAATTCAACAAGTAAAATACGAAATATAATTTAAATAAAACAAGACAATTAAATAAAACACCCAGTTAACTCAATCAAATTAAAAACAACTAAATTAATTAAATAAATCCTTTAAATTATAGGGGTATTACATGTTGCAAGCTTTTATTCATATTCTGGAACTGCTAGGTGGAAAGGACAGTTTCGACAGCAGTTGAAAACTTCAACCTGGAAGGTCCAGATCATGCCACGTGTCCCACGTTTTTCTCAGCTTTCTTATGGTGCTAACACGTGTAAAAACATGCCTCCCCTCAATTTGCAGCTCCAAAAGAGTGGATTTAGTAGTGCAAAGTATGTTATAACTTTTACCTACGTTTTAAAACTGTCAATGGAAAGGATCACGAACTTCCATTTATTTCTTAGATTTCTTCGGTAAATGCTTCATCTTCTCAGCCCACTTGCCCATTTTTAGCAACCTCCTCATCTAAATAAGGTAAGTGGTTGCCTTCTAGAGTTGACATGTCATTTGGTAGAGTTTATATAGTCAAATTTGACACAAAACTTTCTTGTATAACAGCCACGTACACCATTTTTGATATGATTATGCCACATATAGCTCCATTTAATTTGAAAACTTGAATCCCACGTTTTGACTTTATGCACGACACCAATAATTTAGCAACTTCCTTAAGTAGTTTTGACCCACTTTGGACATTATGCTATTCATATGGTAACCTCCATATCATGCTCCTAAAATCTCTCATCTTTGTAATATATCTAGACTAAATTTTAGTCTTTAAGAAATCTTCTTCTACTGCAATCTCTCACTTAATGGGTGTAACGACCCAAATCCGGGGATTCGGATCACTAACCGGGTCCTTACCCGAACTCGAGGACACATAAGGGTACTATGGTCATTATACATCATTAAAATAATTCCAGGGTTCAAGAGGGTATAATAGTCATTTAACATGGTTAAATATAGTTTGAGGCCCAAAAAGGCAAAATAGTCATTTACTAAGGTCATTCAATGATTGGTATGAAGTCTAGGGGTGATTAGGTAATTATACTGAAGTATGGGGTCAAAGTGTAAATACTAGCTCATCTAATCGGTTACATGATTTCATCTAACAAGTCAGATAGCCATCCAACCGGTTAAATGGAAACCCTTCATTGCCCCGCCCAACTAACCGGTTAGATGGGAACAACTAACTAGTTAGATGAGAGCATCTAACTGAACAGATGGGCATCCGAATCTGATTTAATCGGTTAGATGATGCCTAGAAGTGAAGTGATCTATTAAATCACTTATCAAACCTATTCAAATGCTACCCAAAGTGTATAAACATTAACAATAAGTTCGTGAACATCATCTAACTTAACAAAAATGCGTAAATTCATCAAAATATAACCATTTTTTTTCCTAAATGAAGAAATATTATAAATATAAAACAATATAGTACAATATAACAAGTAAGGGCATACCCTCACTGAAAAAGGATCCTAACAAGGAAAATAACACAAAAACAAGGAGTGACTCCCTATTACAAACAAAAAAAGAAAACCCTACCCTATTCATACATTGTTTGAGAATCAAATTTCTGTAAAATATACATACATGTCCAAAAGAATAGGATTACAAATCAAGGCCTTTATGTCTATAATACAACGACTTCATTTGGAGTCGACAAAAGAATAAGGTCATTACATGTAGTCAATTGTTTAAAAGAAAGCCTTTATAAAAGATAACAAAAATGGTCGTCATTCTACTTCTAAGCTTGCGGGGGTGCGTCATCTACAACATCCTTGCTATGTCCTGAAAATGTTAGAATATAGGGTGAGCACAACAGCTCAATAGAGATAGCCTAAAATATACGTTTTGTAATCTCGTGAATCATACCAAAAACAAAGGATAACAAGAGAGGGATCATACAATGTTGAGGGAGAATTAATCATACAACATATACTTGAATTTCATGCCTTTCAAATGATGAATGAAATGTCATGAGATGCACTCTCCCCATTTTTCCAATACTAATTCCGTCATAATACAACCCACACCGAAAATGTTAACACAACCCGACCCTCGGTGTCTCTTAGGTATCACGAAGGAAATTAGCTAGCTATCCCTGGTCTACTGTGTCTCCCTAGCATCATTTGGGGCCTAAGTAGTTTAATTATACACATCCAAATTCCGTCTCATGCTCCTTTCTAGGTTGGTTAACCCCCGGACCATATGGTATCTATAAGGCGCCCAGTTTTCACAAAACCTTTTCTCAAAAACTTTTCAATTTCAAATTCAACTTTGCAAATCCTTTTGAAAATCATTACATAATCCCATGAATCCAACCAATGTTCATGATATGCATGCTATATATATATATAAAATTATTCGCATTTTTCAAGGAAATCAACTCATGACAACATCAAATTAGTATGCTTTAACTTAATAAGTAAAATCATTATATTCATAGCATGATTCATGCAGGACAACAACCATCTCAAGAAAACCAACAAGTAAGAGGCAACATCTAACACATAATCATGCCTTCAAACAACTATACAATTAGAAATTCACAAAGATAAAAGAACTTGTAATTTAGACTTCCCTACCTCAAAAGATGAAATCAAAGCTCAAGGTCCAAACTCGAAATCCCACCAAATAGTTGCAAGACCAGATTCAAAACGTAGTCCTTGCCAAGCTCTATAACTTTTCTAGCTATGACATAATACAATACTTACTCATGTATGCAAGATCTTAGAGAGAAGATGAAGATATGAAAAGAGAAAAAGAAAGATGATGAGAGAGAGAGAAAACGATGATGGTGTGTGGTCCAAAAGTGGACTTTAGGGTCATCCAAAGTCAAGGTCAACATTGGGTCTTCCTTTGACCCTTAACTTTACCAAACTAGCCTCTTTCCTTTAAATAATCACACTTATGCCACAAAATATCATCTTCACGTGGCAATTGATTGCCACATGCTTTCTCCTTTGGTACGCCTCACCTCATGGATCATTCCTTTTCTTGACCTGGTCTTCAATTCTATGTGGGAGCATCTGAGCAGTTCTATGCTTTAAACTTGGGTGGCTAGGTGGAATTGGTAGCATTCCTCTTTCATCCCTGATTGTAGCTTCCTTTCCAGTTGCTGCAATATTGATCTAGTGTGACAAGTCGAACTCGCCACCTATCGCCTTTCCGATGGCTGATATTGATGGTATAAACAACTACCTTTATTATTTATTAATCAATTTATATTTTTTGCCATCATTGATTTAGGTTAAGGATATTAACATGTTAAACAAGACATTTGCCACCAATAGGCCGGACACACTAGGAAACAACATTGGTGAGAATACACCTTTAAACCTCATTGATCACATCTAATTACTCTCTCCAATTGGTCAACTGGGTGGCTATTGATTTTCAAAATTACTATAGCAATAGATGCCATTGGTAATTCTAAAAAGCATAATTAAACAAGAAATAATGAAAGATGATACCTTCACGCTTCATCTTCATTCACAATTTGTGAGAACTCCGCACACGATTAGCTCGGAACTGAAGTCTGACCTTCTTGAGTGCTACTAGAACATCGCCTATGTTAATCCTTAACCGAGGTGATTCTGCAGAGCAATTTAGAGCTAATTCCATGATGGATGACACACACTCCATATTTGTAGCGAAATCTTCTTCCTCTGGCCTTAGCAAGTTGGAATCTATAACCTGAATTACTGCATTGGGTAATGACTCCTTCACCCAACCCTTGAGGCTCAGATCTCCAGAAAATAAGTCATTAGTGGGTTTCCTTCTTGTAAATATTTCCATTAACATAATACCGTAACTGTAAACATCACAACTTGTGGATACTAATCCTTCCATTCCATACTCTACATCCAACAATACAACTCATCAAAAAAAATAATATATATGTTAAGAAAATTAAATTTAATAGAAACTTAAATTCAAATTTTGTTTATGAAAAAAAGAATATATAAGAACTTCACCTGGTGTAATATACCCAAACGTAGCTATAGTCTTGGTTAGTGCAGTGCTCTTCCCATCACCTAAGAACTTTCCAATTCCGAAGTCACTCACATGTGCAACCATATCTTCATCTAGAAGAACATTCCTTGGCTTCAAATCACAATGAACAATAGATGTTGAATAACCATTATGGAGATAGTCGATTGCACATGCCGCATCTATCGTTACATCTAACCTCTGCGAGATATCCAAGCAGTAGTTGTGAGAATACAACCACTTTTCAAGGCTTCCGTTAGGCATGTATTGGAGTATCAAGGCTTTGAAATCAAGGTTAGAACAACTACTAATGACTTTGGTGAGATTTCTGCGTCTGATGTTGTGTAATATTTCACATTCTGTGTCGAAACTCTTTAAAGCACCTTCTAGCTGCAGATTGAATACCTTTACAGCCAAAATAGTCCCATTAATTAGTATACCTCTATAAACTGAACCGAAACTCCCCTTGCCAAGCAAGTTGCTATCTCTAAACCCATCAGTTGCTTGTAGAAGTTCATGGTATGCAATTCTCTCTCTTGCAATTGCAAGGATTGAACCAGTTTGAATTGGAGTTTTATTTTTCTTTCGACATCTCAAACATACAAAAGCGACCGTCAAGACAAGAAGTATAGAAACAATTGGCAACATGATATGCATGACTAGAAGCACTCTTTTTGTCCTTGATCTGTGAAGTGAACTAGTATCACATGGCAAGACTTGGAATTGAGAGGCATCGCACAATGCTTCATTCGACATAAATGATTGATTCGTGAAATTTGCAAAAGGTCCTCCAGTGGGAATTTCTCCACTTAGTCTATTGAAAGATACATTAAAATATTTAAGTTGCCAGAGTGTCTCTAACGATCGGGGAATCACACCAGAAAGGTTATTATGAGATAGATCCAAGAATTCCAAGCCTACCATGCTTTGAAATACGTCGGGAATAGGTCCTTGTAGCCTATTATTTTCTAAAGAAAGAGAAGTTAAATCTTGCAAGCCACCAATTGTGCTAGGGATGTTGCCTGTGAATTGATTCATTGATAGATCAATTTGGGTAGCAACATTTAAACTTGCAAGTCTGGGGGTAGATTTCCACTTAAAGAATTAGAGGAACAGTTGAAGATCAAAAGATCTTTGAGGCTCCAAAGGGTTGTAGGTATGGTGGAAGTTAATCTGTTGGAATCTAGATGCAGATATCTTAGGGAAGTAACATTCCCTAAGCATGCCGGGACCGGACCAAACAATCTATTTCCACTCAAAACCAATTCACCCAGGTTGAGTAAATGGCAGAGGTCCAATGGAATGGTTCCCTGTATTCTGTTGTTGTAAAGATAAAACCGTTGGAGCTTCCCTAATTCTTTGATCATTGTCGGTATTAGTCCAGTCAATTCATTGTCATTTAGGTGCAAGGATATCAAGCTGCTTAAATTACCTATCCCTGTCAGAATATAGCCCTTAATTCCACCATTGCTTACCTCAAAATCTTGAAGAGAAGTAGAGAAATTCCCAGTGGAAATTGGAAGTTTGCCATTTAAAGGATTACCACCTAACCCTAAGTGTCTTAAATTTCTGCAGTTTGTCAAAGAAGTCAGGAAGCTCAGTTCTGAAGATGAAGAAGATTCACTGACGAAATTGTTTTCTGCAAGGTTTAGAATTTCGAAGGATCTTATGTCACCAAGGGAGTGGGGAATTGAACCTGTGAATGTGTTAAAAGAAAGCTCTAAGATAGTGAGATTGGAAGCATTTGAAATAGAATGAGGGACGACTCCGGTGAGGTTATTTTCTGCTAAAAAAAGTCCGCCAAGATTGGGTAGTGAATGGCCAATATCTGACGGAAGATTGCCGGAAAGGTGATTACCCACAAGGTCTAGCCGTTTCCATAGTGTTGAGATGTTGAAGATTGCTGCTGGAATTGGGCCTGTTGAGTAATTGTATTGTAACACTAATTCCTCTAACCTAAGGTTGCCAATCTCTTCTGGTATTTCACCTGCCAAAATGTAAACAAAAGGAGTGAAATGTGAAAAGTATTTCAAAACCAATATTAATTACTACTAGTGAACAATCCAAGACAGTAATGGAATGGAATGGAATGGGCATTCCGATACATTCCTTATTTGGAATGACATTTAAACTTACATGAAAACCCTTTCAAGAAGTGAAAAATCGTACAGAAAATTTATTGATCAAGCTGAGTTCGAACAAGCCCTTACTCGGTTTGGCTAAGCTCATTTACAGTCCTATGTACCACAAGAACAACAGACACTAATTGAAACACACAAGCAGTCATACCTATCAAGTTTTTACCACCAAGAAGCAAGCCCTTAAGCATAGTTGGGTTGCAAATCTCTCTAGGAATGGGGCCACTGAATCTATTATAGTCCAAATTTAAAATCTAAAGTTTTCAGCAATTATGTAAACCAGATGGAATTAGGCCATTTAACTCGTTATGCTGTAATTGAAGCTCTTCGAGTTTTGGAAGATGGTTGCACACATCCACACGAAGATTGCCGGATATGCCATTCAGTGAGAAATCTATAATTTGCTGTGAGGAAATGTTGAAGATTGTTGGTGGTATGGAGTCTGCAGTAGCGGTGCACAAAAAAATCAAATTAAACCGATAAATTGAACTGGACTAAATCGGATCAGTATATTTGGTTTGGTTTTTTTTATGGTTTGATTATGGCTCCAAAAACATGGAATTGCTTATAAACGGTTCGGATACGATTTGAGGTTCTACGAAACCAAACCGAATGGAACCGAACCAAACTATATATTTATATATTTTGTATTATATAAATAATAAAATAATAAGATTAGCCTTTTAACTACTCAAAATTATATAATACTCCAATATATAATAAAAATTAGATTATATATATATATATATATTAAATTGAATTATAAAAAAACCTAGAACAGTGAAATCGAACCGAACCAAATAATTTTTTTACAGTTTAGTTTGGTTAAGTTCTATTAGATTCATGGTTCCATTCAGTTCTAGTTTATATGGAATTGTTAAAAACGATTTGGTTTCAAAATATTCCCAAACTGATCCGGTCCGTGCACCCCTAGCCTGCATAACTATAACTAATTATTTATTGTATATAAAATCTTCAGTATAGAGAAATATCTCATTTTATATATATATATATATATATAGGTATAGGTATAAAATAAATTAAAAATTCTTAAAGTAAAATTGAATGATTTAAATATTAAAGTTAAACATTCTATAATAGTTTCAGCATTTAAAATAAATCGCCAAAAGAAGACGAGAGGGGAATGTTGAAGAAGTTAAAAATTAAGGTTACACGCTTCTAGAATCTTCGCCGTTAACATAATCAAAATATTTGATATGATAGAGATGGACAAAAATTAGGTCGGTACCAGTAAAATTGTTGTTACCCAGAAGCAAGTGCTCAAGTTGAGACAATGCAATCAACCATGATGGAAGCCCTCCACTGAAGTGGTTAAACATCATATTCATGACAAGAGGGGAATGTTGAAGAAGTTAATTCTGACCTTAGAATCTAATCCAACGGTAATTAATTAATCAGTATTTTATTTTTATATTTTAGACAATTGTTTGTTTTTTTATTACCATTATATATTATTTATAGAAAATGACAAAACTAGACATGTTTTTAATGAAAACAAATTAAAACCAAATTGGTTATGATTTTCTTTTATACGAATTTCTTACCATCCGAATTCTTAAAGCATACAATTAAAAAAAAAAAAAAATTACTACCACCGCCGCCACCACCTACCCTGCCATTGCCGCCACCTCCACCACCGCCGGCGAATTCCTTCCCATCCGAATTCTTAAAGCATACAATTAAAAATAAAAATAAAAAATTATCACCACCTCCACCGCCACCGCCGCCACCACCACCACCACCTACCCAGCCACCTCCACCACCGCCGGCTGCGGCGGCGGTGGAGGTGGCGGTGGCGGCAATGCCAAGGTAAGTGGTGGAGGTAGTCCATTCCCTTTCTCTTTCATATTTTATATATTGGGTTATATGATTTGATGATTTTGCTTGTCGTTGAATTCATTTTTATACACACACATACAAATAAACATATTTTGAGAGTACAACATTCTTTTGTAATTGAATTATTCAGTAAGTAGTTGTTTCACAGACATATATTAATTGCAAGGTTGAGAAGGAAACGATTGTGCGTTAATTTTTCAACTGGTATGCTTTGAGAATTTCCTGGCTAAACGGATAGGAATGAAGGGAATTGGAAATAATTAATTTTTTTATTTTTAATTGGTACGGTTTGAGAATTCGGATGGAAAGGAATTCGTACAAAAGAAAATCCTAAACATGTCTAGTTTTGTCATTTCCTATAAATAATATATAATGGTAATAAAAAAAAAGAAGCAATTGTCTTAAATATAAAAAGGAAACATTGATTAATTAATTACCGTAGGATTAGATTCTAAGGTCAGGATTAAAAATGAGTATACTACTTTATACTTACCAGGGAGCAATTGAACGCCACAGAGATAAGATATATATATATATATATATATATATATATATATATAATTGAATTATAAAAAAACTTAGAACCGTGGAATTGAACTGAACCAAATAATTTTTTTACAGTTTGAGTTGGTTTAGTTCCATTTGATTCACAGTTCCGTTCAGTTCCAGTTTTTATGGAAATGTCAAGAACGATTTGGTTTCAAAATATTTCCAAACCGATCAAGTCCAAACAGTATGCACACTAGCCTGCAGAACTATAATTAATTATTTATTATATACAAAATCTTCACCATAGAGAAATATCTCCTTTTATATATAATATATATATAGATAGATATAAAATAAATTAAAAATTTTTAAAGTCAAGTTGAGTGATTTAAATATTAAAGTTAAACACCCTCTAATAGTTTCAGCCGTTCAAATAAATGGCCAAAAGAAGATGAGAGGGGCATGTCGAAGAAGTTAAAAATTAAGCTTACGCGGTCTCTAGAATCTTAGCGGTTAACATAATCAAAATATTTGATATGATAGAGATGGACAAAAATTAGGTCGGTACCTGAAAAATTGTTGTTACCCAGAAGCAAGTTCTCAAGTTGAGATAATGCAATCAACCATGATGGAAGCCCTCCACTGAAGTGGTTAAACATCATATTCATGACTTTCAATCGACTCAAGTTTACTCACTCACTTGGTAGATGACCACTGAAACTATTGTTACTTATGTCGAGTGAAACAAGAAATGAAAGGTTACCCAAATGTGGAGGAATGGTGCCTTGGAGAGCCATGTTAGAGATGTTCAAGCGAACGCCGCATGTGACTCCGACCCAGTTGCAAAGCGAGGCCATCGCCAACCAGTTCTTAGTCAAGATGCCATGCGGGTCGGATGCTACATTGTCTTTCAAGACAAGAAGAGCAGATTGATCATTGATGATGTTGTTGGTCCATGTATTAGCTGTGCAAGGGATGACGATGAGATCGTCCACCAGTGCTAACACTGCAATAGAAAAGAGGAAAAGAGTTTTCTCCATGGAATTGTGAGAGCTCATATGTGAGAAACAAGAAACGAGAACTCATATGTGAGAAACAAGGAAGTGTACTTTATATAAACAAAATCATCCATGGACAGTTTTGTCAAATCAAAGAGATGTCAAGTTCAATATCAAATAAATTATTAGAGTCAAAGTACAATTTTAAATAAATTATTATCAGATAATTTTTTATTGAGTCTGTAATTATATTGTCGGTAATCAGAATATCTTAGTCTTTTTTTAATCACTACATGGTTTGTTAGAGCAGTTGTACTTTATATAATAATAATAAAAATAAAATAATCTTCATTATATACAAAAATGTGCAAATACTTCATATTTTACGAAAAAGAGGTAAATACTCCATCTTACTTTAAACAATGAAATGACTAAGATATTCTTACTTTATAAGGAAAAAAAAATAGATAAAACACAAAATGACAAAACTATCCTTCAACTAAACATACTAAATTTGTGTGAGAAATAAGAAACAAGGTAGTGCTAGACGTATAAATAAAATCATGGACGGTTTGTCAAATCAAAGAGATGTTGGGATTAGAGTCAAATCCAATATCAAATAAATTATTTGAGTCCAAGTACAATTTTAAATAAATTATTATAAGATAAATTTTTATTAAGTCTGTAATTATATTCTTGGTAGCTCAGAATATCTAATACTCCTTGATTTATTTTTTTTTTTATTTCTACATGGCTTGTCAAAGCAGTTGTATTTTATATAATAATAATAAAAATAAAAAAATCTCCATTATATACAAAAATGTGCAAATACTTCATATTTTACGAAAAAGGGGATAAATACCTTAAGTCATATGTGAGAAATTACAAGAAACAAGAATGAGAAACAAGGAAGGAAGTGCTAGAGATGTTGGAAATTGGAGTCAAGTCCAATATCATGGACAGATATGTTAAATCAGAGAGATATTGGAATTAGAGCCAAGTCCATTATCAAATAAATTATTTGAGTTAAAGTACAATTTTAAATAAATTTTTATCAAATAAATTTTTATTGAGTCTATAACTTAAGTTACATAATTTATTTTTTACGCATAGAGTACGCTTTCGATGTCACGTTCCACGCGCGCTCTGTCTCAAACTCTCATTATTTATGATTTAATTATACCGCTCTCACTCTTCCGTTCTATAATTCGCTTTTGTTCTCGCTTTACATTCTTATTCTTAATACCTTCATAATATCTAATCCTGTATAGTTCTTTTTATCTTTACATGGATTGTTACAGTAGTTGTACTTTATATATAATAATAATAATAATAATAATAATAATAATAATAAACCTTCATTATATACAAAAATGTATAAATAAGCCATCTTTTACCTAAAAGGGGTAAATATTTTATCTTCTTCATAAAGGGGTAATTAAACAATGAAATGACAAAGGGGTAATTAAACAATGAAATGGCAAAGGTATCTTATCTTATAAGGGGAAAAAAAAAATTAATAAAAAATAAATAGGCTAAAAACACAAAATGACAAAACTATCCTTAAATTAAACAAACTAAATCTTTGGGAGTGTATTTTATGTTTGTGTAATAAAAGCAGCCGGTGCTAATTTAAATTTTTTTTTTTTTTTTTTTCAGCCTCCCAAATTTGACAAAATCTTCTTACGTGGACTTCATAAGCCGCGTCACCATCGGCAGCCAAGCGGCGGCCTACGGCAGTTTCTAGAACATCCAGACTACTAATAATAAAAATAAAAAAATCTTCATTATATACAAAAATGTGCAAATACTTCATATTTTACGGAAAAGGGGTAAATACTCCATCTCCTTCGTAAAGGATAATTAAACAATGAAATGACTAAGGTATTCTTATTTTATAAGAAAAAATAAATAAATAAAACACAAAATGACAAAACTATTCTTAAACTGAACATACTAAATCGATGTGAGAAACAAGAAACATGAAACAAGTGCTACAAGTAAGTGCTAGAAGTGCTAGATGTATAAATAAAATCATGGACAGTTGTGTCAAATCAAAGAGATGTTGGGATTAGAGTCAAGTCCAATGTCAAATAAATTATTTGAGTCAAAGTATAATTTTAAATAAATTATTATAAGATAAATTTTTATTGAGTCTGTAATTATATTTTGGGTACCTCAGAATATCTAATACTCGTTGGTCTTTTTTTTTATTTTATCTCTACATGGTTTGTCACAGCAGTTGTACTTTATATAATAATAAAAAAAATAAAAAAATCTCCATTAGTCATACGTGAGAAATTAACAAAAATGTGCAAATATTTCATATTTTACGAAAAAAAAATCTACAAAAATGTGCAAATATTTCATATTTTACAAAAAAGGGGTAAATACCTTAAGTCATATGTGAGAAATTAACAAGAAAAAGAACAAGAAACAAGAAACAAGGACTAGAGATGTTGGAATTAGATTCAAGTCCAATATCAAATAAATTATTAGAGTCAAAGTACAATTTTAAATAAATTTTTATCGGATAAATTTTTATTAAGTCTATATCTTTAAGTCATACAATTTTTTTTAACAAGTGTTGTTCTTACGCTCAGAGCACATTTTCGATCTCACGTTTTTCGTGCGCTCTGACTCAAATTCTCATTATTTATGATTTAATCGTACCGCTCTTACGCTCTATAATTTGCTTTCGTTCTCGCTTTATATTCTTATTCTTAGTACCTCATAATATCTAATATTGTGTAGTTTTTTTTATTTTTTTATTTTATATTTTACTTATTTTTTAATTTTTATCTTTACATGGTTTATCACAGCCAGGGATGGACCCAGCAGGGGACTAGGGGGGGCAGATGCCTCCCCTGAATTTTTAATATTTTCATTTTATACCCTAATATTTATACCCTAATTTTTTAAAATTTATGAAAATGCCCCCCCTAAAATTACAATTCGCCCCCACTGGATTCTTTTTTTTTTTAGCATTTTATACTTCAAATTTTGATAATTTATGAAGATGCCCCACTGATTTTTTTTTTTTCATTTTATACTTAAATTTTTTTAAAATTTATGAAAAAAACCCTACTAAAATTACAAAAATAAACTCATCATATAATTTTGTACCCACAAATTAAAAATTCGCCCCGCCTCACCAAATTTTCTGGGTCCGTCACTGATCACAGCAGTTGTACTTTATATATAATAATAATAATTATAATAATAATAATAAAACCTTCTTTATATATACAAAAATGTATAAATAAGCCATCTTTTACCTAAAAGGGATAAATACTCTGTCTTCTTCATAAAGGGGTAATTAAACAATGGAATGACAAACGTATCTTATCTTATAATAATAATAATAATAATAATAATAATAAATAAATAAATAAATAAATAAATAAATAGGCCAAAACACAAAATGACAAAACTATCCTTAAATTAAACAAACTAAATCTTTGGGCTTGTATTTTATGTTTGTGTGTAATAAAAGCAGACGATGCTAATTTTTTTTATTT